AATTACTCTCTCACTTGGTTCAAAGGCTCCTATACATTCACTTAACATCTCCCAAAATCTCTCTCTCTCTTCTGCATTCCTCTCTTCTCCAGGTGCATACACGCTTATTATGACCCACTTCTCGCATCCAACCTCTACTTTAATCCACATAATTCTTGAATTTACACATTCATATTCTCTTTTCTCCTTCCATAACTGATCATTTAACATTACTGCTACCCCTTCCTTTGCTCTAACTCTCTCAGATACTCCAGATTTAATCCCATTTATTTCCCCCCACTGAAACTCTCCTACCCCCTTCAGCTTTGTTTCGCTTAGGGCCAGGACATCCAACTTCTTTTCATTCATAACATCAGCAATCATCTGTTTCTTGTCATCCGCACTACATCCACGCACATTTAAGCATCCCAGGTATGCAAATGGTATGCAAATACCATTCTCCTATCCCTGTCTTGGAGGCTTATATTAGAGAAAACGGAGTGTAGCACAGGGCTAACTGTGATATACACTCGTACTGCACCATAAACCTGAAACAAAAAAGTTATTTTCTCTATATAGATTATCACACATAGCAGCATATGTGTAGAGAACCTAGGATAACCCAAAAAGGTCAATGTGGCTTATTTTTAGTACCTGGCTTCGGTTAGCCATATATGATTTTTGGTAAATATTCGATTCCCAGCCAGAGTAGAAACATTAGGCGTGTTTCTTTACACCTGTTGTCTATGTTTACCCATAAGTAAATGGGTACCTGGGTGTTAGCTGACTAGTGTGGGTGTTATCCTGGGACACTGACCTAATTTTCTTGAAATACTCTGCATAACAAGTGGCTTTCTGTATAGTAGTATGTCACTGATGTCAGCTAGGCCTGTATACCTTGTACATGTACGTGTAGTAAATATATTATTATTATTATTATTATTATTATTATTATTATTTTCTCAATTGTTTGTTGGGTTATCTTATTGAAACTTGGGCAATGTATGATGGAAAGATACTTCTTAACGTACACCAAAAATAAATGAAATCAGACCATAAATAGCGGAGTTCACTTTTCAGTCATTAGTGGCCACTTAGTGGTATATTTTTGTATGGTTTTCATTGTTTATATTCTCATTTTTTCGGTCTCATTTGATAGAATGAAAGATATGATTTTGATTGCTTTCATGACGAAAAGTACCTTGAAATTGTGCTCACAGTAGTGAAAATGTTCTATTCTTTAGCGAAGCTCAAGAGTAAACAAATGACGTCACCGTCCAATACCTGTCTGCCTGCCAGTCCAAATTCCAGTATGGAGTCAAGAATGGGTTGACATTATTTATACAATTATTACAATAATGCAGTAGTCTGCATAACAGTAAATCTTCTATTTTTTGTGAATATAAATTCCAAATGGTAAGCAAGAGTAATATAAGAGGGGCCTGTAGCCGTGACTAATGAACAGAGAAAATGTTATTTTAGTGCCAGGAATGTCTGCATTGTTTATTCTGGGCCCTATTTTGAAATTGGCATCTGTTGAAATTTGTGTGAAATCGGCCAAATTGCCAATTTCTGACCACTTTATTGGGTAGTTGAAATAAGTGAATGGGCGGTTTCTTGTACTCAGTTAACAGACTAGAAGTAAAAAAGTTTATTAGAGGTATACACAAATACAGTTACATAGATTATCATACATAACAGTGTATGTCCTAGGTAGTAGGTTTGTAGACAACAACCGCCCAGGGAGGTACTACCGTCCTGCCAAGTGAGTGTAAAACTGAAGCCTGTAATTGTTTTACACGATGGTAGGATTGCTGGTGTCTTTTTTTTTCTGTCTCATACACATGCAAGATTTCAGGTATGTCTTGCTACTTCTACTTACACTTAGGTCACACTACACAAACATGTACAAGCATATACGTATATACACACCCCTTTGGGTTTTCTTCTATTTTCTTTCTAGTTCTTTTGTATTTCCTCTTACCTCCATGGGGAAGTGGAACAGAATTCTTCCTCCTTAAGCCATGCGTGTTGTAAGAGGCGACTAAAATGCCAGGAGCAAGGGCCTAGTAACCCCTTCTCCTGTATGTATTACTAAATGTGAAAGGAGAAACTTATGTTTTTCCTTTTTGGCCACCCTGCCTCGGTGGGATACGGCCGGTGTGTTGAAAGAAAGAAAGAGAAGGAGAAACTTTCGTTTTTCCTTTTGGGCCACCCCGCCTCGGTGGGATACGGCCGGTGTGTTGAAAGAAAGAACAGTGTATGTATAGAGAACCTAGGATAACCCAAAAAACAGTCAGACAAAGTGACTTATTTCCAGTACCTGGCTTGGGCTTGCCATATATGATTTTTGGTAAATAATTTTTTTCTCGGTTGTTTGTTGGGCTATCTCACTGAAACTTGGACAATGTATGATGGAAAGATGCTTCTTAACGTACAACAAAAATAAAGAAGACTGACGATAAATAAGGGAGTTCACTTCTCAGCCATTAGCCGCCTCTTTGCAGTATATTTTCGTATGGCTTTTATGATTGTATTCTCATTTTTTGGACTCATTTGATAGAATAGAAGATATATTACAGAAATAGACATGATTTTGATTGCTTTCATGACGAAAAGTACCTTGAAATTGAGCTCAAAGTAGCGGAAACGTTCGATTTTTGCCGATGTTCAATGAACTTTGTGTAAGTCAAGTTGGTTAATTTTATTAAGTGTATTCTAACCTAACCACTCTGTAATCCAGCAAACTCAGTAATCTGGCACACTACAGGTCCCAATGATGCTGGATTTGTGATGGAGGACCTGTACCTGCAGGCCAGTGCAGTGTGTAAGTTCATTTAGGCTACAGGTACACATAAGTATAATTATCAGAGTATATATAAAACATGAAACAACTCTAAAACACTTGAAATTTTGGAAAGTTTCCAGACATAATGGAGAGACAAGGTGCTTAAGGTGAATGTAAACAAACCAGGTGGGGTGTGGTGACCATATTACAAAGTCAGATTGGGGGAGCTGTATAACGAGTTTTGGTCATAATTTTAAATGTCCATATTAACAGAAAGCCATAAGGCAAAATGCTGTAAAGTGGGTCCTTACTGTACATACAGATGGAGGGATTATTTGAATAAAAAAAAAAGCTGAATGAGGCTGACGAGAAATGAAACATACAGTTAATACAGTAGGTCCCCACTTATATGACAGGTTAGGTTCCAGGCTACTGCCGTAAAGTGGATCCCCTTTTTTCCACTTATAAATGCATATAAATACTAGCTAACAAATTTACACTAACGTATATTAAGTTAGCAATAGAACTAGGCATTAAAAAACAATAAAAAGTAAAATACACGTATAGTACACTCATTACTTACCTTAAAATATTTGTAGTCTTAATCTATGGTGAGACAAGTGGTATTTATTGTAAGAATTCAGGTGTGGTATGTATGCTAGCCAGCCAGGCCAACCCACCCACACATACTATTCTATGATATTTAAGCATCCCAGAGCGATAAAATGTATATACAGTTCACTCATTACTTACCTTAAAATATTTGTAGTCTTAATGTGGGGTCAGAGGTGAGTAAACGAGATAAAACGAATAAATGAGAGAGAGAGAGAGAGAATGAGTACATGAGGGAGGACAGGCGCAGAGTTATGTAAACAAACCAGGCGAACACAAGTTTTGTAAACAAAGAAAGTGTACACGTCTGGTTTGTGTACAAGTTACATTGTGTACATGTTGTCTCTTCATTGATATGGTAGAATAAATAAAAAACAACACTCCCATTCTCATGTAACACCATTTTTAGAAGAAATGATGCTCTGAGTGAAGGCAAAGGAAATAAGTCACTCTGACTTTTTTGGGTTAGCCTAGGTTCTCTACACATATGCTGTTATGTATGATAATCTATGTAACTGTATTTGTGTATACCTGAATAAACTTACTTACAGACGAAAGGAATAATTTTCTACAGTTACCCCCAGTAACACATTTTCTCTGATGTTGGACTAGAGAAAATGTTATTCTTGCCATCACTTGTAGAAGTCTGGCTCCCACATCTCGTATTTATGTTTATTTATTCTACTGTGGGGTGTATTTATCATCTTTATATGTTATGTACTGTGTTTATTATATAATTTTGAAAAAAACATTGTAGATGGATTAATGAAAATGTGTATCTTAACGTAATATACGACATTTAATGAGATTCGGTGATTATTATTATTAATACTAATATGGCATCACTCATTCAAAGCGTGTGGCTCCCACATCTCATATTTGTTTATTTATTCTACTGTGGGGTGTATTTATCATCTTTATATGTTATGTATCATGTTTATTATATAATTTTGAAAAAATATCATAGATGGATTAATGAAAGTATGTATATTAGTGTAATATACGACATTTAATGTAATTACACATTGTAACCTTTACAAAGAAATAAAATAATTATTATTATTATTATTATCATCATTATTACTAATATGGTGTCTCGAGACATAAGACACTCTTACTGATTTTAATATGTACCTGCATGCCAGCACAGTGTGCAAGTTTATTTAGGTACAGGTATACATAAGTGTAATTATCAGGGTACAGTGTATATATAAAATATGAAATAACTTTTAAAAACACTTGAAATTTTGGAGTTTCCAGATATAATGGAGAGACTTAGTGCTTACAGATCTCACAGAGAATGTAAACAAACCAGGTGGGGCATGGTGACTGTATTAGAAAGTCTGGTGTGGGGAGCCATGTAAAGAGTTTTGGTCATAATTTGAAATGATCGTATTAGCGGAACGCCGTAAAGCGGGGCCCTACTGTGTATTGTTGAAGATAGTGTAGATAAACCTAAATAAGTGCAATTAAAGTTGTCAGAGGTAGAGTACTGGGACATATATAAAGATATGGAATATGTGAATTGACATACTCTGATTGTAAGCTTTCCTTATAATGTGAAAACTTGTATAGATCTTGTGACCATTATTTACAAGAACACACTTTTTACCACCTACAGGAATCTATGTTTGTACCTGATCCTGTTATATCCATGGCAATCAAACCCAAGAATAATAAGGATCTTGATGCATTCAGCAAAGCAGTCAATCGCTTCACAAAAGAGGACCCCACATACAGGGTGTATTGGGACAATGACAATAAAGAAACAATTGCTTCTGGCATGGGAGAGCTTCATTTGGAAATCTATTCACAGGTAAAGCACTCACCACTAACTTAGGCATTGTCAGAGATAGTATTAAAGTGGTCCCTTGAGTTACGACAATTTTGAGTTTCGATTTACCCTCGTAAAGGAATTTAATTTTGAGTTGTCATGAAAAATTTGAGAAACATTATGCATACAATGGACGGTGCACATGGGTGGGCCTCAGCCAACCAGTAATGCAGAAGCTTGCCTCTTGGGCAAAATCTGAGCCAACCAGCAAAGCAGTGTCTTGCTTCTTGGATAGTGTCTGAGTGAAGAGAAGTGTGGGTGGTGGCTTAGCAGCCAGTCAGTAATGGGACTGAATGTGTGTATTGTAGCATCTCGGCCAATAAAGTTTGTACTACAACTTATTGTTTCCTCTTCAGTTTCAAGCTGCCACATGTTGCATGCATCAACTCTGGATTATTTACCCTTTATAACTGCATCTGTGATATAATTATGCCATCTTTTGTGTTACCAAGTCATCATGGCCCCTAAAGTGAGGAGTAAACAAGCAGTTTCTCTGAGGATCAAGCAAGAAATTGTGAAAAACCATGATAGAATTAATGCATTGGTGCATGAGTATGGTTATCCACAATCAACCATCTCGACTATTGTAATAATGTTGGTAGAATTACCGACAATATGTAAAGTAAAAGGACACAAGTGCAACTAATGTGACATTTTTATTGTGGCAACGTTTCGCCCTCCAGGTAACGGCTTGACAAAGCTCCTGGAGAGCGAAACGTTGCCACAATAAAAATGTCACATTAGTTGCACTTGTCCTTTTCCTTTACTTCTTTCAACACACCGGCCGTATCCCACCGAGGTGGGGTGACCCAAAAGGAAAAACGAAAGTTTCTCCTTTCAAATTTAGTAATATATACAGGAGAAGGGTTACTAGCCCCTTGCTCCCGGCATTTTAGTCGCTTCTTACAACACGCATGGCTTACGGAGGAAGAATTCTGTTCCACTTCCCCATGGAGATAAGAGAAAATAAACAAGAACAATAACTAGAAAGAAAATAGAAGAAAACCCAGAGGGGTATGTATATATACGCTTGTAATTGTATGTGTAGTGTGACCTAAGTGTAAGAAGTAGCAAGACGTACCTGAAATCTTGCATGTTCATGAGACAGAAAAAAGGACACCAGCAATCCTACCATCATGTAAAACAATTACAGGCTTTCGTTTTACACTCGGCAGGACGGTAGTACCTCCCTGGGCGGTTACTGTCTACCAACCTACTACCTAGGTTTTACTTTACATCTCAACTATTATCAAGCAAAAAGAAATCGTTAAGAATATTCAAGTGGCTGACGAATCTAAGCTAGTGAAAAAAGGCAGAGAAATTATCATAGAGATGGAAGACTGTTTTTATTGTGGATAAGAGAGAAGAAGGTAGTAGGTTGGTAGACAGCAACCACCCAGGGAAGTACTACCGTTCTGCCAGATGACTGTGAAACAGAAACCTGTAACTGTTTTGCATGATGGTAGGATTGCTGGTGTCTTTTTCTGTCTCATAAACACGCTAGATAACAGGGATATCTTGCTACTCTTGCTTACACTTTGGTCACACTTCGCAGACGTGCACCTGCATATATATATATATATATATATATATATATATATATATATATATATATATATATATATATATATATATATATATATATATATATATATATATATATATATATATACATATATACATATATACATATATACATATATACATATATACATACATATATACATACATACATACATACATACATACATACATATATATATACATACATACATACATACATACATCTAGGTTTTTCTCCTTTTTCTAAATAGCTCTTGTTCTTCTTTATTTCTTCTATTGTCCATGGGGAAGTGGAAAAGAATTTTTCCTCCGTAAGCCATGCGTGTCGTATGAGGCGACTAAAATGCCGGGAGCGATGGGCTAGTAACCCCTTCTCCTGTAGACATTCACTAAAAAAAGAGAAGAAGAAAGCTTTATAAAACTGGGATGCTTGAATGTGCGTGTATGTAGTGCGGATTACAAGAAACAGATGATTGCTGATGTTATGAATGAAAAGAAGTTGGATGTCCTGGCCCTAAGCAAAACAAAGCTGAAGGGGGTAGGGGAGTTTCAGTGGGGGGAAATAAATGGGATTAAATCTGGAGTATCTGAGAGAGTTAGAGCTAAGGAAGGGGTAGCAGTAATGTTGAAGGATCAGTTATGGAAGGAGAAAAGAGAATAGGAATGTGTAAATTCAAGGATTATGTGGATTAAAGTAAAGGTTGGATGCAAAAAGTGGGTCATAATAAGCATGTATGCTCCTGGAGAAGAGAGGAATGTAAAGGAGAGAGAGAGATTTTGGGAGATGTTAAATGAATGTATAGGACCCTTGGAACCAAGTGAGAGAGTAATTGTGGTAGGGGACCTGAATGCTTAAGTAGGAGAAACATTTAGAGAGGGTGTGGTAGGTAAGTTTGGGGTGCCAGGTGTAAATGATAATGGGAGCCCTTTGATTGAACTTTGTATAGAAAGGGGTTTAGTTATAGGTAATACATATTTTAAGAAAAAGAGGATAAATAAGTATACAAGATATGATGTAGGGCGAAATGACAGTAGTTTGTTGGATTATGTATTGGTAGATAAAAGACTGTTGAGTAGACTTCAGGATGTACATGTTTATAGAGGGGCCACAGATATATCAGATTACTTTTTAGTTGTAGCTACACTGAGAGTAAAAGGTAGATGGGATATAAGGAGAATAGAAGCATCAGGGAAGAGAGAGGTGAAGGTTTATAAACTAAAAGATGAGGCAGTTAGGGTAAGATATAAACAGGTATTGGAGGATAGATAGGCTAATGAGAGCATAGGCAATGGGGTCGAAGAGGTATGGGGTAGGTTTAAAAATGTAGTGTTGGAGTGTTCAGCAGAAGTTTGTGGTTACAGGAAAGTGGGTGCGGGAGGGAAGAGGAGCAATTGGTGGAATGATGATGTAAAGAGAGTAGTAAGGGAGAAAAAGTTAGCATATGAGAAGTTTTTACAAAGTAGAAGTGATGCAAGGAGGGAAGAGTATATGGAGAAAAAGAGAGGGGTTTAGAGAGTGGTGAAGCAATGTAAAAAGAGAGCAAATGAGAGAGTGGGTGAGAAAACAACAAATTTTGTTGAAAATAAGAAAGCTTTGGAGTGAGATTAACAAGTTAAGGAAGCCTAGAGAACAAATGGATTTGTCAGTTAAAAATAGGAGAGGAGAGTTATTAAATGGAGAGTTAGAGGTATTGGGAAGATGGAAGGAATATTTTGAGGAATTGTTAAATGTTGATGAAGATAGGGAATCTGTGATTTCGTGTATAGGGCAAGGAGGAATAACATCTTGTAGGAGTGAGGAAGAGCCAGTTGTGAGTGTGGGGGAAGTACGTGAGGCAGTAGGTAAAACGAAAGGGAGTAAGGCAGCTGGGATTGATGGGATAAAGATAGAAATGTTAAAAGCAGGTGGGGATATAGTTTTGGAGTGGTTGGTGCAATTATTTAATAAATGTATGGAAGAGGGTAAGGTACCTAGGGATTGGCAGAGAGCATGCATAGTTCCTTTGTATAAAGGCAAAGGGGACAAAAGAGAGTACAAAAATTATAGGGGGATAAGTCTGTTGAGTATACCTGGTAAAGTGTATGGTAGAGTTATTATTGAAAGAATTAAGAGTAAGATGGAGAATAGGATAGCAGATGAACAAGGAGGCTTTAGGAAAGGTAGGGGGTGTGTGGACCAGGTGTTTACCGTGAAACATATAAGTGAACAGTAAACCATACCCCGGCCGGGATTGAACCCCCGGCTAACGCGACGGTCTGGAGTTTTGAGACTCTCTGACCACGGGTTCAATCCCGGCCGGGGTATGGTTTGTTTGCAATCGTGTCATTACGATTTCGTGAGTCAAGTGAACAGTATTTAGATAAGGCTAAAGAGGTTTTTGTGGCATTTATGGATTTGGAAAAGGAGTATGACAGGGTGGATAGGGGGGGCAATGTGGCAGATGTTGCAGGTGTATGGTGTAGGAGGTAGGTTACTGAAAGCAGTGAAGAGTTTTTACGAGGATAGTGAGGCTCAAGTTAGAGTATGTAGGAAAGAGGGAGATTATTTCCCAGTAAAAGTAGGCCTTAGACAGGGATGTGTGATGTCACCATGGTTGTTTAATATATTTATAGACGGGGTTGTAAGAGAAGTAAATGCGAGGGTCTTGGCAAGAGGCGTGGACTTAAAAGATAAAGAATCACACATAAAGTGGGAGTTGTCACAGTTGCTCTTTGCTGATGACACTGTGCTCTTGGGAGATTCTGAAGAGAAGTTGCAGAGGTTGGTGGATGAATTTGGTAGGGTGTGCAAAAGAGGAAAATTAAAAGTGAATACAGGAAAGAGTAAGGTTATGAGGATAAAAAGATTAGGTGATTGAAGATTGGATATCAGATTGGAGGGAGAGAGTATGGAGGAGGTGAATGTATTCAGATATTTGGGAGTGGACGTGTCAGCGGATGGGTCTGTGAAAGATGAGGTGAATCATATAATTGATGAGAGGAAAAGGGTGAGCGGTGCATTTAGGAGTCTGTGGAGACAAAGAACTTTGTCCTTTGAGGCTAAGAGGGAAATGTATGAGAGTATAGTTTTACCAACACTCTTATATGGGTGTGAAGCATGGGTGATGAATGTTGCAGCGATGAGAAGTTTGGAGGCAGTGGAGATGTCATGTCTGAGGGCAATGTGTGGTGTGAATATAATGCAGAGAATTCGTAGTTTGGAAGTTAGGAGGAGGTGCGGGATTACCAAAACTGTTGTCCAGAGGGCTGAGGAAGGGTTGTTGAGGTGGTTCGGACATGTAGAGAGAATGGAGCAGAACAGAATGACTTCAAGAGTGTATCAGTCTGTAGTGGAAGGAAGGCGGGGTAGGGGTCGGCCTAGGAAAGGTTGGAGGGAGGGGGTAAAGGAGGTTTTGTGTGCGAGGGGCTAGGACTTCCAGCGGGCATGTGTGAGCGTGTTTGATAGGAGTGAATGGAGACGAATGGTTTTTAATACTTGACGTGCTGTTGGAGCATGAGCAAAGTAATATTTATGAAGGGATTCAGGGAAACCGGCAGGCCGGACTTGAGTCATGGAGATGGGAAGTACAGTGCCTGCACTCTGAAGGAGGGGTGTTAATGTTGCAGTTTTATAACTGTAGTGTAAAGCGCCCTTCTGGCAAGACAATGATGGTGAAAGTTTTTCTTTTTCGGGCCACCCTGCCTTGGTGGGAATTGGCCAGTGTGTTAATAAAAAAAAAGAGAGTAGCAGATGATGCTACTCCATGTGATGATTTTAAAGCTAGCAAAAGGTGGTTCAGGGGTTTCAAGAAAAGGCTGATATGAAAAGTGTTGTAAGACATGGTGAGGCTTCCAGTGCTGATGAAGAAGCTGCATATATGCTGTTAGGTGCCAGTGCCTCTGGAGATTTGAAGCTGAAGCCTATGCTTGTTTACCACTCGGAAAACCCTGGTGTCTAAACAACAAAAAGTATCCAAGGGGGGGGGGGGTGAGTGTGTGCTGGCATTGCAACAAGAAAGCCTGGGTGACAAGATAATTCTTAAGTGAATGGGACCAAGAAGTGTTTTGTCCATAGTCAAGAGCTACCTGCAGATCAACAAACTCAGTTGCTCCAGTGGTGCATGGAGAGCCTGAGATGGGGATCAGTGAAATGGTGGGGAAAGTGGAGGTGGATCAAGCTGTCAAAATAAAGAGGTGTGAGATGGCGGGCTCATGTACCCAGCAACATATGGCAGCATAGTATTCTGGCATGCACTTTTACTTTTGGATAATGCACCAGCATAATTTCCTAACAGGTGGAACACAGCTAGTCGTAGTCAACAGAGTAAAGTCTGAGGCGGCTACAGTGAAAAGCTCTGGGCCACAAGGCACAGTACTCGCTCCCATCTTGTTCCTCATCCTCATATCTGACACAGACAGGGATATAAGCCACAGTGCCATGTCTTCCTTTACAGATGACACCCGAATTTGCGTGACAGTGTCCTCCATTGAGGACACTGCAAGACTCCAGGTGGAAATCAACCAAATCTTCAACTGGGCCGCGGAAAACATTATGAAGTCGTGAGGAAATTAAAACTACATCGGACTATAAAGCGAATTTCAACCACACAGTAGAGTGAAAAACTAATGCCAGAGACCTGGGAGTGATTATGTCAGCTGCGATAAAACACCTCAGTTGCTGGGAACTCTTGAAGTTCCTCAACCTGTATTCCCTAGAATACAGGCAGTAGAGATACATGATTATATACACTTAGAAAATCCTAGAGGGATTAGTACCAAACTTGCACATGAAAATCATTCCCTGTGAAAGCAAAAGACTCTGCAGTCGATGCAACATCCCCTCGACGAAAAACGGGTGCCACTAGCACAAGAGTCAACACAATAAGTGTCAGGGGCTTAAGACTGTTCAACTGCCTCCCAGCATACATAACGGGGATTACCAATAGACCCCTGGCTACTTTCAAGCAGGCACTGGACAGGCACCTTAAGTTAGTACCTGACCAGCCGGGCTGGTCAGGTACTAACTTAAGTGCCGCTAACAGTAACAGCCTGGTTGATCAGGCCCTGTTCCACTGGGCCGTGGGGGCATTGACACCTGGAACCCTCTCCAGGTATACTTCAGGTATGATCTATAATTTGCCCAATCTTTGGAGGCAGAATTTAGCTTTGTTGTAGTTTATTATTATAATCAAAACCAAGTGCTAAACCCACAAGGGTCATAGAGTGCTGTGTTAGTTAAATTCTTCCCTTCAACACTACCTCTGCTTCAGCCTATGGAATAGCAAGTAATTGTAAATTTAAAGATTTACACCAAGATGTTGGCCAAGTACTTTGCAGAGACTTCAGGAGATGGAGCCATCAGCCTCAAGGAATTCTGAAACACTTAAGTCTAACATCTTAGATTGTGTGAGGGGTTAGGGTAAGTTCGTGAAATGAAGTTTCCACTCAGTGCCTAAATGCAGCATGGAAGAACATGTGGCCTTCAGTAACCTTTGACTTTGAATGATTTGAGGCAGAGGAGGACGTAAACCAGAAAATTTTTGCTCTTGGTGAAGCAGCGAGGCTGAAGGTTGATGAAGAGGATGTGAAGGAGTTAATTCAGGACCACAGGCAAGGAGTTAACACAGGAGCTTCAGCAGTTAGGTGAAATGGATGAGAAGGACAGTGGGGAGGAAAAAATTGAGGACAATGACTATAGGATAACTGCTTCAGAAATTTAGTTGTTGTTTACTCATTAAAAAGAACCATAAAAAATCACCCAGACATTGAAAACACTGAATTCTCCTCCTTTGTTTTTGAAGATAATGTTGATCTTATTTAAGAGCCTCTGAAACAAGCAACAGAAACATTTAACTCTGGAGGTTACTAGTTGGAAGCAGCTTTTCCTCCCAAATAGTAACCTCCTCTCCAGCCTCCCCACCACACCACCAACTCCTCAAGTCCAAAGTACCATAAATCCATGTATTATGGGGTTTGAATTGTAATTTTGAGATATGTTAATCCATTCCAGATGTATCCTAACTCGAGGGACTACTGTATGGGGAACCACAACCCATTAGGGGTCATAAAGCCCCTAAAGAATGAGGTAGTCATTTTTGATCCAAAGAAAAGGTTAGTTTGTTTAAATTCCTTGGATCAAGAGCTCTTCAGTAGCTATGAAACCCACCCCCTTGGAAGGTAGAGATAGCTGTCATGTTGGACAGCCTCAGAGCTAGGATACTATACTTCATTGATCTATATACAGTGGACCCCTGTGAATTTGCGGCTTCAGTAATTCGCGGATTTTTCCTTAGAACCTAACTAATAATTGTTTGCAGAAATCCCCGCAAATTCGCCGATTTTTTTTTTTTTTTTTTTTTTCTTTTTTCATGGCAATATGCAATTTTTTGTGTGTTTTAATGCTAAATATTAAGAAAAATATAATTTAAATTATTACCATATGTATACCAAAGAAAATGGGGTTGCATGAATTACAGTATACCAAAGAAAACAGGCTTGCATGAATTACAGTACATCTGGGGGTAACATTGGTATTTTGCATTCTAGCACTGCAGGAGACATGTCAGTACAGTACTGTATACAGGTTTATCTTTACATTTTTTTTTTCTTTTAAGGGTTATGTATGAAGCTGAGTCTGAAATTAAATTAAAGTGTTTTGGGGACATATTTAGGGCTTAAACTATAAAAATAGGCATTTATAGGCATTTTTTTTTAACTGCATCCAGAATTTGCAGTTTTTCCAAATTCATGGCTAGTCTTGGACTAAATGTAACCCTCGTGAATTTGGGGGGAATTACTGTACTGCATTGTCCACAGTACTTTAATACATTTTATAATGAAATATATGTGCATCATACTATATCAGATTGTGGCCATGCTTTTTTTTTTAGTTAAAATAGTTTTATAATTTAGCGAATGGAGCGAGAATATGGCTGTCCAGTGGTGATGGGAAAACCAAAGGTGGCCTTCAGAGAGTCACTAGCAAGTCCAGTTGAGTTTGATTATCTTCACAAAAAGCAATCTGGAGGAGCTGGTCAGTTTGGTCGTGTCATTGGAGTTCTTGAAGTAAGTTTGAAATATTGTACAATGAAAAAAATTTATAGTTTTCTTTTGATGATGAGTGTTAGTGTATAATACATAATTTAATTTTTTGGTTTTAATACATTAGGTGTTTCCCACGAGGCCTTGGTGATGTGGCCTTATGTTGATGTTTAACATTCCTTTATTATTCAAGTGTTCTTAACTTTCCCACTAGTGGGTTGCCAGCAGGTGTCTTGACACACTCATTTATATTTCTTTTACTTGTATCTTGAATTTGTGAAGTCTTTTTATTTTTTTCTACGTTTTAACTGGCTGGTTTTAACAGTACTGCTTTAAACAACTCTAAGGCCTTTTCCCTAATTAAAGCACCCTAGAGCAATAAAATGCATATACAGCACATTCATTACTTACCATAAAATATTTGTAGTCGTGTAGAGTGAGAGGTGAATAAATGAGATAAAACGAATAAATGAGAGAGAGAGAGAGAGAGACAGACAGAGAGACAGACAGAGACAGACAGAGAGAGACAGACAGACAGAGACAGACAGACAGACAGGGAGAGAGAGACAGAGAGATAGACAGACAGACAAAGGAAGGAATGAATGAATGAATGAGAGTAAGATTACAGAACTGCAGAGTACTTATGTAAACAAATTGTCTGGTTATTGTTGATACGTATTCATACAAACACCTTACATTGTGCACAGGTTGTCTCCACGTTGATACAGTAGAATAAATAAAGACCAACACTTCCATTCTCATGTAATTTTTAAAAGGAATGATGCTCTGACAAATTATGGTTATTATTATTATTATTATTATTATTATTACAAATTATAATTATTACAAATTATTATTATAATAATCATAAAAAAGAAGCGCTGAACTGACAAGGGTCTTGAATAGCTATAGATATTGAAGGCATACGAGAGGAATAAATTTCTCCAGTTAATTAACTGGTGTTTGACTAGAGAAAATGTAATTTTTCTGACACTCATACAAACCGCTTGACAAATCTCATATTTATGTCAGTTTTTACACTGTGGGTGTATGTATCATGTTTATATGTTACATAGCATGTTTATTATATAATTTAAAAAAAAAATATCATAGATGGATTAATGGAAGTGTCCATATTAACGTAATATACAACATTTAATGCACCCAAGAGATTATGTGGCGTCAAGAGTAGAGAGAGACTGTGATTTTAATGTGTACCTGCACTCCAGAACAGTGTGTAAGAATTTTTAGGTACAGGTACACATAAGTATAATTATCACAGTACACATAAAATACACAATAACTTTAAAACACTTGGAATTTCAGGTGTATGGTGTAGGAGGTAGGTTACTGAAAGCAGTGAAGAGTTTTTACGAGGATAGTGAGGCTTAAGTTAGAGTATGTAGGAAAGAGGGAGATTATTTTCCAGTAAAAGTAGGCCTTAGACAAGGATGTGTGATGTCACCGTGGTTGTTTAGTATATTTATAGATGGGGTTGTAAGAGAAGTAAATGCGAGGGTCTTGGCAAGAGGCGTGGAGTTAAAAGATAAAGAATCACACATAAAGTGGGAGTTGTCACAGTTGCTCTTTGCTGATGACACTGTTCTTGGGAGATTCTGAAGAGAAGTTGCAGAGGTTGGTGGATGAATTTGGTAGGGTATGTAAAAGAAGAAAATTAAAAGTGAAGAGTAAGGTTATGAGGATAAAAAGATTAGGTGATGAAAGATTGGATATCAGATTGGAGGGAGAGAGTATGGAGGAGGTGAATGTATTCAGATATTTGGGAGTGGATGTGTCAGTGGATGGAGCTATGAAAGATGAGGTGAATCATAGAACTGATGAGGGGAAAAGGGTGAGTGGTACACATAGGAGTCTGTGGAGACAAAGAACTTTGTCCTTGGAGGCAAAGAGGGGAATGTATGAGAGTATAGTTTTACCAACGCTCTTATATGGGTGTGAAGCATGGGTGATGAATGTTGCAGTGAGGAGATGTCATGTCTGAGGGCAATGTGTGGTGTGAATATAATGCAGAGAATTCGTAGTCTGGAAGTTAGGAGGAGGTGCGGGATTACCAAAACTGTTGTCCAGAGGGCTGAGGAAGGGTTGTTGAGGTGGTTCGGACATGTAGAGAGAATGGAGCGAAACAGAATGACTTGAAGAGTGTATCAGTCTGTAGTGGAAGGAAGGCGGGGTAGGGGTCGGCCTAGGAAAGGTTGGAGGGAGGGGGTAAAGGAGGTTTTGTGTGCGAGGGGCTTGAACTTCCAGTGGGCATGAGTGAGCGTGTTTGATAGGAGTGAATGGAGACAAATGGTTTTTAATACTTGACGTGCTGTTGGAGTGTGAGCAAAGTAACATTTATGAAGGGGTTCAGGGAAACCGGCAGGCCGGACTTGAGTCCTGGAGATGGGAAGTACAGTGCCTGCACTCTGAAGGAGGGGTGTTAATGTTGCAGTTTAAAAACTGTAGTGTAAAACACCCTTCTGGCAAGACAGTGATGGAGTGAATGATGGTGGAAGTTTTTCTTTTTCGGGCCACCCTGCCTAGGTGGGAATCGGCCAGTGTGTTAATAAAAAAAAATAATAGAGATGTGCTCACGGAGAATGTCAACAAACCGAATAGGGGCGCTGTATTTGAAAGACCGCTTGCCATATAGCAAGTTTTGGTCTACTGTACATAGAAAATATGCAACAACTTTAAAAGCCTTGAAATTTTGGAAAGTTTCCAGACATAATGGAGACGTGCTTACAGAGAATGTAAACAAACCAGGTGGGGCACGGTGACCATATTAAAAAGACAGGGGGAGCCACATAGCGAGTTATGGTCATAATTTGAAATGTCCGTATTAGCGGAATGTCGTAAAGTGGGGCCCTGCTGTATTCTCTTGGTACTTGGTTCAAAACTTCCCATGCACTCACTCATTTCCCAAAATTTCTCTCTCTCCTCTACAATTCTCACTTCTCCAGGTACATAAAAACTTATTATAACCCACTTTTCACATCCAACCCTTATTTTACTCCACATTATCCTTGAATTTATACATTTATATTCCTTCTTTTCCTGCTATAACTTATCCTTCAACATTATTTCTACTCCATCCTTAGCTCTAACTCTATTCGAAACCCCTGACCTAATACCATTCATTTCTCCCCACTGAAATTCTCCTACCCGTTTCAGCTTTGTTTCACTTAGAGCCAGGACATCCAACTTCTTTTCATTCATGACATCCACAATCATCTCTTTCTTATCATTCACACTATAACCACGCACATTCAAACATCCCACTTTGATGGTCGTCTTCTTTTTCTTTTTTGTAGTCTATATGGGAAAAGGGGGTTACTAGCCCATTGCTCCCGGCATTTTAGTCGACTTTTACAACATGCATGGCTTACGGAAGAAAGAGTTGTTTCATTACCCCATGAATGTGAAAGGAAAAGTATTAAGAACAAGAACTATTAAGATAAAATCAAAGAAAACTCAGATGAGTGTGTATACATAAACGTGTATCTGCATGTGTAGTGTGACCTGAGTGTAAGTAGAAGTAACAAGATATACCTGATATATTGCATGTTTATAAGACAAAAAAAAAGACACCAGCAATCCTGCCATCATGTAAAACAAATACAGGCTTCTGTTTTAAACTCACTTGGCAGTACGGTAGTACCTCCATGGACGGTTGCTGTCTACCAACCTAGTACCTTATTTTTTCTACGTCCTGGTCAATTTACCACATTAAAGCAGGGCCTGGGAGTAGTATCTTGGCCCTAGGTTCCACCTATAACTACTTTGGATATCCATCAATGTCTACAGCCTACTCTGTAGGTATATTTCATTATCTTGTCTTTCCTCAGTTTCCCATAATCCTAGTACTACATTTAAAACTTTTTTTTTTTTTTTAACAAGTCGGCTGTCTTCCACCAAGGCAGGGTGACCCAATAAGAAAGAAAATCCCCAAAAAGAAAATGCTTTCATCATCATTCAACACTTTCACCTCACTCACACATAATCAGTGTTTTTGCAGAGGTGCTCAGAACACAACAGCTTAGAAGCATATACATATAAAGATACACAACATATCCCTCCAAACTGCTAATATCCCAAACCCCTTCTTTAGAGTGCAGGCATTGTACTTCCCATTTCCAGGACTCAAGTCCGGCTATATAAAAATAACCGGTTTCCCTGAATCCCTTCACTAAATATTACCCTGCTAACACTCCAACAGATCGTCAGGTCCCAAATACCATTCGTCTCCATTCACTCCTATCGAACACACTCATGCACGCCTGCTGGAAGTCCAAGCCCCTCATCCACAAAACCTCCCTTACCCCTTCCTTCCAACCATTTCGAGGATGACCCCTACCCTGCCTTCCTTCCCCTACAGATTTATACGCTCTCCATGTCATTCTACTTTGATCCATTCTCTCTAAATGACCAAACCACCTCAACAACCCCTCTGTGCTTAAATGATAGGCTCCAAGTGCTGTGTCAGCCAAGAATACACCCTGTTATATTTCAGTTTGAAATATTTATAATTTTTGCCCTCCATATGTATACTATTCACACACTTCTTAATACCAAGTTTTTCTATTAATTTTCACTTCTAGCTGTACAACTAAAATGCTTGCCTATCAACCCCTGCCTCCCCAGTCCATAAGGTGAAACTAGTGTACCAAGGTGAGAACACTGCATCACCTTATCACTCTTAAAGTGATGTTGGGGTGTATATGAAATTTGTTTTATAACGATCAACTCTAAACTTAATTTTATATGTTAATCAGTTCTGAACTAAAAGTTAAATTAATTTATTTTTCCTGCAAATATTATTTTTTTATGCTTTAAGTAATTGTTATTTTACAGCCACTACTACCTGAAGAAAATACAAAGATTATCTTCATGGATGAGACAGTGGGTACCAACATTCCCAAAACATTCATTCCAGCAATTGAGAAAGGATTCAGGGCAAGCTGTGAAAAAGGCAAGTGAAATTGTTAATGCCTGCACTCTGAATGAGTGATGCAGTTTGGATGGTCATCTGAAATGTAATAGCAGTGTACTTCTGGCAAGAGAGAGATTGAATAAATGACAGTGAATGCACTTTCTTCTTTGTTGCGTCACTGTACTTTGGTGGGAGACAGTTGGTGCTAAAAAAATAAGGAAAAAAATTGTTGAATGATGCCCATGGGTTCAGCACTTTTAATAAATCCTAGAATAACTGTGACTGTATAGTAAGCTTTCAGTTTAACAAACTAATACAGGGTGTCCATTATATTGGAATAACATTAAAAAATAGCAATAAAATCTACTAAATTACTCTGCTGTATACCTAATATGGTACCTAGTACACAATTTACAGATATACTGCCATAAACTTTGAAAATAATAAGTCAAAAGTACAATTTACATGGTGGATTTTGCCAATATTTTAAGTCCATTATATTGGCGTCCATTATATTGAGGGGCTACTGTATTTTCTTTAAGTTACTCTGTTTTCTTTAAATTGAGGTTGAATAGTTAAATGAAGATTTACCTGTATATAGTACTCAAATATACAGTGGTACCTTGACTTATGAGTTCCCCAATATACGAGTTTTTTGAGTTACGAGCCATCTCTCGGTCAGTTTTTAGCTTTGCATTGGAAGCCAAAATCCGAGCTACAAACGAGCTTAAGATACGCCACCACAAGTATCTGAAGTCAGATCCAACTCTGTACCCAGAGAAATGTCAGGTACTTCGTCCCATCCCACATGCTCTTCCAAGACATAATTGGAAGGATAATACTCCCACACTAATCCCAGATTGTAGTGAGGCACCTCATCTCTTGTTTGGTTCTTATATAAATCCGGGGAAGAGGTAACCTTCATTTCAGCACTCAGAGTTTTTCCAGAAACATTAAAGAAGGTATCTGTGATGTTTACCTGCTTCACAGAGGTTCCTTCAATGGGTGCAGTACTGATAGTGGTGGGTGGAGTACTGATGGTGGTGGGTGCAGTACTGATAGTTGTGGGTGGAGTAGTGATATTGGTGGGTGCAGTAGTGATAATGGTGGGTGGAGTAGTGATGGTGGTGGATGCAGTAGTGATAATGGTGGGTGGAGTACTGATAGTGGTGGGTGGAGTACTGATGGTGGTGGGTGGAGTAGTCATAGTGGTGGGTGGAGTAGTGATAATGGTGGTGGATAAGTAGCAATATTGGTGGGTGGAGTAGTGATGGTTGTGAGTGGAGTAGTGATAGTGGTGGGTGCAGTAGTGATATTGGTGGGTGCAGTAGTGATAATGGTGGGTGGAGTAGTGATGGTGGTGGGTGGAGTAGTGATGGTGGTGGATGCAGTAATGATAATGGTGGAGTAGCAACATCGGTGGGTGGAGTGGTGGGTGGTGGATGGAGTAGTGATGGTGGTGGGTGTAGTGAGAGTGGTGGGTGGGGTAGTAATGGTGGTATGTGGAGTAGTGATATTGTTGGGTGGAGTAGTGATATTGGTGGGTGGAGTAGTGATGGAGGTGGGTGGAGTAGTGATAATGGTGGGTGGAGTAGCAATATTGTTGGGTGGAGTAGTGATGGTGGTGGGTGGAGTAGTGAGGTTGTGGGCAGAGTAGTGATAATGGTGGGTGGAGTAGCAATATTGTTGAGTGGAGTAGTGGTGGTGGGTGTATTAGTGAAAGTGGTGGGTGGAGCAGTGATAGTGGTGGGTGGAGTAGCAATATTGGTGAGTGGAGTAGTGATGGTGGTGGGTGGAGTAGTGATAGTGGTGGGTGGAGTAATGATAGTGGTGGGTAGTGATGGTGGTGGGTGCAGTAGTGAAGGTGTTGGGTGAAGTAGCAATATTGGTGGGTGGAGTAGCGATATTGGTGGGTGGAGTGGCGATAATGGCAGGTGGAGTAGTGATGGTGGTGGGTGGAGTAGCAATAGTGGTGGGTGGAGCAGCAATATTGGTGGGTAGAGTAGCAATGGTGGTGGGTGTAGTAGCGATGGTGATGGGTGGAGTCATGATGGTGGTGGGTGGAGTAGTAATGGTCATGCTTGGAGTAGCAATATTGGTGGGTGGAGTAGCGATAATGGTGGGTGGAGTAGCGATGGCAGTGGGTGGAGTAGCGATGGTGGTGGGTGGATTAGTGATGGTGGTGGGTGGAGTAGTGATGGTGGTGGTGGTGAGTAGTGTGGTGGGTGGGTGGAGTAGTGAGGTGGGTGGAGTAGTGATGGTGGTGGGTGGAGTAGTGATGTTGGTGGGTGGAGTAGTGATGGTGGGTGGGTGAAGTAGTGATGGTGGTGAGTGGAGTAGTGATGGTGGTAGGTGGAATAATGATAGTGGTGGGTGGAGAAGAAATGTTGGTGGTTGGAGTAGTAATGTTGGTGGGTGGTAGTAGTGATAGTGGTGGGTGGAGTAGTGATGGTGGTGGGTGGAGTAGTGATGGTGGTGGGTGGATTAGTGGTGGTGGTGGATGGAGTAGTGATAGTGGTGGGTGGACTAACAATATTGGTGGATGGAGTAGTGATGGTGGTAGGTGGAGTAGTGATTGTGATGGGTGGGGTAGTGATGGTGGTGGGTGGAGTAGTGATTGTGATGGGTGGGTGGTAGTGATGGTGGTGGGTGGAGTAGTGATGGTGGTGGGTGGAGTAGTGAAGGTGGTGGGTGGAGTAGTGAAGGTGGTGGGTGGTAGTAGTAAAGGTGGTGGGTGGAATAATGATATTTGGTGGGTAGTGATGATGGTGGGTGGAATAGTAATGGTGGTGAGTGGAGTTGCAGTATTGGTGGGTGGAGTAGTGATGGTGGTGGGTGGAGTAGTGATGGTGAGTGGAGTAGTGATGGTGGTGGTGGAGTAATGATAGTGGTGGATGGAGTAGTAATTTTGGTGAGTGAAATAGTGATGGTGGTGGGGTGGAGTAGTGATGGTGGTGGGTGGAGTAGTGATGGTGGTGGGTGGAGTAGTGATGGTGGTGGGTGGAGTAGTGATATGTGGTGGTGGAGTAGTGATAGTGGTGGGGTGTAGTGATGGGTGGAGTAGTGATGGGTGGAGTGGTGATGGTGGTGGGTGGAATAGTGATAGTGGTGGGTGGAGTAGTGATAGTGGTGGGTGGAGTAGTGATAATGGTGGGTGGAGTAGTGATAATGGTGGGTGGAGTAGTGATAATGGTGGGTGGAGTAGTGATAATGGTGGGTGGAGTAGTGATAATGGTGGGTGGAGTAGTGATAATGGTGGGTGGAGTAGTGATAATGGTGGGTGGAGTAGTGATAATGGTGGGTGGAGTAGTGATAATGGTGGGTGGAGTAGTGATAGTGGTGGGTGGAGTAGTGATAATGGTGGGTGGAGTAGTGGTGTAGCAAGTAAGTTTAGCAATTAAGCGATAGTTTATGACGACCAAAATACACTTTATAATACCAGTTTATTTCTTTACATTCTCTCTTAAAATGTTTTATGTTTTTATACAATATTTCTTATTTATAAATGCATTTTTCCTATTTTAAAACCCGTAGCAAAAGAAATTGTTTTTTTTTTTACAGGCTGGAATGGATTAGTGGCATTTCATTTAATTTCAATGAGGAAAATTGATTTGATATACGAGCAAATTGAGTTACGAGCTGGGTCATGGAACAAATTAAACTCGTAAGTCAAGGTACCACTGTATCTGCGTGTTCATTGGTAAGGAGTCAGGTCCATGATATTGTGGCTCTGGCAAGTGCTGAGGACCTTGAAGATATCCATGTAGATGATACAAGTGAATTGTTAGCACAGGATGACAAAGAATCAATTGCAGAAGAATTGCTGAAGGAGCTCAATTTCCAGTTAACAGTAGGCCCCCACTTGTGTGGCAGGTTAGGTTTCAGGCTACTGTCAGAAAGCGGACATGCCATTTTTTTTTCCACTTATAAATGCATATAAATACCAGATAACAAGTTTACACAAACATGTGTTAAGTTAACAGTAGAACTAGGCATTAAAAAATCAATAAGTAAAATACACACACAATACATACATTACTTATTTTAAAATATTTGTAGTCTTAATGTAGGGTGAAAGGTGAGTATTTATTGTAAAAAAGTCAGGTATGATAGCTCGCCTGGCTACCATACCTAAATGTAATACAGTGGACCCTTGAGTTTTGGTGGCATCGACTTTTGTGAAATCCGACTCGGCAAGTTTTTTCGGCAAAATTTGGCCTCGCGGTTTGTGATTAGACTCATGATTCGGCGACCGTCTGGTACCCGTCCGCCCGTCACCGCGCACACAAAGCCAGTCACCCATGCCATTCACGCTCAGTGTGCCATTGTTTACCAATACGTGACCATCACCCTGCGGGTTCATACGTAATAATCCATTGTTTTTTGTTATTGCAGCTGCTAAATAAGTCACCATGGGCCAAGGAAAGTTAGTGCAAGCCCTTTGGTAAAGAAAGTGAGGAACAGGATCGAATTCAAGAAGGAAATCATTGAAAAATATGAGAGTGGAGTGTGTGTTACAGAGCTTGCCAGGATGTATGGCAAACCCCATTCAACCATCACTTCGATCATGGCAAAAGGAAAGGAAATAAAGTGTGCTGTTATTGCCAAAGGGATAGATATGCTGACAAAAGGAGATCACAAATCCTCGAAGAGGTGGAGAGGTTATTGTTGGTGTTGATTACCGAAAAACAGATTAAGGACATTTGTGCAAAGTGGACTGAAGTGCAAACATATATGGATGAACTTCACCCTAACAAAGCTGTTGCAGGCCGTATTGGCAACATGTACAATGACAGTGTTGTGTCCCACTTCAGACAAATCTTAAAAGAAATGCCAGAAACAGAGCTCTCTGGACAGATATTTTGTGCGACAGGGTTCCAGTGACTCTCAAGTTCCCAGTGGCAGTGTCTTTAAAAAACAAAGAAAGGAAATAACCCCAGATAAGAACTTCATACCTGAAGTCCTAATGGAAGGAGATTCTCCTTCCAAACAATAGTGTACACCTTCCTCCTATCCCCTCCTCCCGTCTTCCATCCACC